TGTAGAACTCCATTAGCAAATTGATTACACTACTCCTTTCTGTGTCAGGTATGTTGGAGCACAAGTCACGTAACTTATTTGTGTCAACAGACGAAGTACTGTTACATTCTGATTTAGAGAACCAGACGGTACCTGCCTGGGCATCGATGTGGGCTCCGTGCATGACTAAGAAATCCATGCCCACAATTACGTCCCAGTTGATTCGTGCACAGATGAACGTGAATTTGGTAATTATATCAGATAGGGAAAGTACTGCTCTATTTACGCCAAGTGTTGAAATGATAGATCCATCGGCGGTAAGAGGTTCCGGGCAGTTGTGGCTACTATTGAGCTGTGGTCGTAATAAATCAATAGAAGCAATCGAACGGGAAGCACCAGTGTTAACTAAGATATTCACAGGTTTAGAGTTCAAATGCCCTATTAAAATTAGGGGTGAGGACTGTCTGGTAGAAGCGGTAGGGACAGTTGTGGACAACGGGGACTTACTGTTATGGGAGTTGTGGCCGCAGCGCCTGGCATTCTTTCCGAAGCGCATACAGTAGAAGCAATTCCGAGGGTTTGGTTTGGTTTCAGTGGGGGTCCATAAATCCTGTCGATGACGTTGCGTTTTCGGAAACACTGGGTTAGGAATTGGGGCTGTATCTCCACTGTCATACAGGTGTTCGTACGTCCGCGCGATTTGGAGGGCGTCGCTCAAGGTCCGGTCGCCTCTCCGACGAAATTTCGCCTTCAACTCGGCGTTTCGCACCCCAGCCACGAATCGCTGGGCCGCGTGCACTTCACAAACTTTTGGAGAATCCTCAGGATGTGCCTTTGAAGCAAGGTCTCGGAGGGCGTCGGCATACTCATCCGGTGTCTCACCCGGGTGCTGATTCCGATGAAAAAACGCTCTCGAAAAGCACTGCTCGGCGGTAGCGTGCAAACAGGGAGGCCAATTGGGTCCAAAGAATGTCTGGTGGAGCAGACAATGAAAGGCCTGAGTGAAGTACACGACGGGCGGCGGAGTCATCTAGCCGGGACAGAATGAATTGTCCTTGCTGCTCCGGAGGTACGGATGAAAGGAATGCTTTCATTCGAAACGACCACAGGTCGAGATCGTCGGTTTTGAAATAACTTCCAAATTCGATACGTAAGAAAACACGCAAATAAGCTAGCTTTTTCACAAAATTCCTTACCTTTTTTATAGAGGCAACCCTCCAAGCCACCAAAAGCCATTGTCGCGTGGGGCGTCAGGAAGTCAAAATATTCGATTTTCGAGAGGATGTAGCGACGGCACACATCAGTTCTGAAATGTGCAGATATACGGACTGGTATTAATGAGTCCACACGGTATACACAGCACACGCGCATAGGTAGGGTGGAACAGAAGAGAACACCGGAACGTGGTAACGACACACGCGTATTACCGAAACCGAAACCGGAGGACGGGTGTGTACAAAAAGGGGGCCGGTCAAGGTCAGTCAGGGGGGTTGTACAAGCGGCCATTCTTTCCTGTCCGGGGCTCGTGGTGGTTCGACCATGGTACCTGCAACAGGGAGAGAGAGGGGGAGAGACACATAAGCTCATGTGGTAGACGTGCATGCAGATACAGTCGAGTTTCAACTGCGTTACAGCGTGACAGATCAGATTTTTCCGGTTTCGTCCGTTTAAAACAAAGCTCAGCAAGTGCTATCTGAGAGGCACGACAAGTTGGTAATAAAAAATAATCAGCCGCTCCGGGCGTCCGGTCAGCGTAGTCGGTAGCACGTTCGCCTGCCGTGTGGAGGATCTGGGTTCGATATCCGATCGGCCTGCTTCTCCTTCGGAGTGGGCACTCGAAATTAGTTGCAATCGAGACGAACTTGCAAGCAATGACGGACGGGTAACAAAATATTGACATCAGTTTCTAAGGGATAAGGAGATCTTAAGTAGGAACGAAACGGGGGAAAACGAACAGCTAGAGAACAAAACGGTGTCAAAATAAACAGGTGTAGGTAATGTTACTCATGAGTAGCCAGAAAACAAGGAAAGTTACCCTTGTTCACCGTTGATTCACAGGGGGAATCAACAGTAGACATGACTTAAAAGTAAAGCTGGAAGTTAGTCAACGTAGACCAAATACAGAATTGTCCAAAACGGAGCCTTGAGGAACTTATGTGGAAACCGGCTCAGAAGATGTGCTGGTTGAGCTATTCTGCATGACAGGAGCTGCTTAATTTGACACAATTTTCCATTGAATCACTAGTGGTAAGATTGCGAAGCGAAAACGACTGTATATTTGCTCAAGCGGTCAGCATTAAAGTATCCATGTAGGGGGCCGTAATACTGGCCGGAATTGGTCTGCCACAGAAGCCCCTCGCAAGCCCTTTAATTGAAGGCAGCCCACATGTAGTACACCTGAAAACCTCTCTCCTGGTGCATCGCCCCTCTACTGCCCGCCCTCAGTTGCGGAAGTAATGTTTTGAGGTGATATTACAAAAAGTGCCTCAGTGGCTCTGAAAAGTTTTATGATATTAAACCATGGGTTTAACATGCTGGACACTTCTTATTACATTTACGATGGTCTGACCCATGCACGATGTTACATATGATGAGATCCCGGGAAACGGATATTCAATCTTGTTACCACGAGTGTAGAGGCGCAAGTACCGCTTTTTGAACCTAGATTAGATCCTGCATACCCAAGTTAGTTTTTTTGACGTCATTTCTACCACTTAGTAATTTATCGTGGGCTTCGCATGACCAACATTTTTCTTTTCAGCATCTTTTGCCATCACCTCTTAAATCCATGTAAAAACTACTCGGTCCTCCTACAAAACTTTGAGAAATTTTCACTTAAGTACACTTTACGCAACTATGCCTTGCAGGTCAATTCGGTGGTCCAAATACCTACTTTCAGAGTAGGTTCGACGTAGGCTCTATGTGGCTAGATAGTTGGGTATCGTGTACCCCTAGCCGCATAATAGTCGTGTGCGTCGATTAGGTTCGTTCAGCTGTCCGGTATGGTCGACGTGGGTTCTATGTGGCTAGTTAGTTAGGCATCGTGTACCCCTAGCCGCATGTTAGTCGTGTGTGTCAGTTAGGTTCGTTCAGTTGTCTGGTATGATCGATGTATGCTCCACGCTCCTAATAGATAAACCTCGAGGTCTTCGTAGCATAATTCACACCCTATAATGGAAAACTCGACTTTTTCCCAGCAAACGTGCACGAAGTTTAGCAAATAATTAACGTGAACTACGGAATTTTTACTTGCAACAAGAATCATCGACCATCTGTTTTCACGAATGCATCTACGCATATTTTGCATCTCCAAAGGCCATTTAGATTCTAGAATGTTTGGAAATTTTTTCCGGTGGAAAACTACCTGAAAGTTGCGTTTAGTGTTAGTGAGTCCACGTTTTCCACATTTCGCGATTTTTTAACATCAGGCTACGTACTCACAGTCGGTGGTGTTTATTGACCTTGAGTATTCGCCCACTTAAACAAATCGCCACAATAAATGACTTTCAGTAATACATGAGCATATACCCTTTACATAGAAATTTCATACTATGAAGTGGCAAGTCTGAAAATGCCGTGGATTTCGATAAATCAGTCCCATTGTGCGAATAGCCAGTGGCCATCGAACCTAATCACATGATCCTAATTGATCGAATTTCTGGCCAATCATGGTGAAGCCACTTGGGTCCTTAGTTGGTCTCCGTCATTTATCCATATAGCTGACGTGCTACCCTTTCCCGGGTTTATGCACAGGATCGAGGCTTTCGCCCAAGCTTTAGTAAATCCAACCTGCCATTTTGGTTGATCTTGGTGTAAGTATTAGTGATGTGCAACTTAGTACAACTGATGTGCAACTTAGTGATGTGCCTACTGAGCTTCTGTTCATGAGCTTTCTCTCCAATAGGCTTGGCGATCCGCAACGCACCCCTGTGCAGAGAACTTGGGACCTCCCTCCTCCCATGGCTTTGGAAACGAGGAGTCTTTTACCCACTCAAGCGTTACCGTGTTCCGGTCCTGACGAATTCACCCTCGCCCTGTCCAAAGATCGAGATGGAATACTCAGTCGGTGCTTGTCTAAATCGTTTGCCTATACCTGGGTGATAGATATCGACCCAGGTAACTCGGATGAGTGGATAGTGGTGCTCATCTTCAAAGGGAGTGCTCTCGATGAGTGTGACAATAACAGAGGAATTAGCTTGACGTCCGTTGTAATCAGACTCTGCGTCATTTATTCTACATAGTCTAATAAAGGCGCATGAAGCTAAAACCCAAGAATAGCGAACAGAATTCCGGTCGGGAAGGGTCTGTGTGAGTCACGTCTTCACACCACTTCAAGTATTGCTTCTGCAAATTTGCGCCATTTGTGTTGTCAAAAACCATATGACGGCCTCAAAAGACGCGCATATCTGACTACAGTCCGGGTTGTATTATTGTACAGCTTCATGACTTAGCTACTTTGGGCAGAGGATTCGGGACTTCTTGAAGACTAACCACCAGTGTCTCAACTGTAGTTGGAGTCGGGTGGAACCAAAAAGTTCGGAATAAGGTGACCAAGAGGTTTTTTTGATGAAACAGGGTACTTCACCCTAAGAATGCATGCTGCATTGCAGTCTAAGGTGACTGGGTTGTGTTACGTGTTACCACATGCCAAGACGTTCTGTTTTCTGTGTCTAATTTGGGTTTTGGAAACTGGTGGTGGACAGGATTTTACATGACAGAAGAGAACGAAGAATGTTTTGGTGCCGTTCGCTTTCCAAGACCGGTTTTACTTGCTTGGCTGGGGACGTTTAACGATATGGCAGCCAGTCGATATCACCAGCGTCCATGCTTCCGATTTTTATCCGGATTGTCTGACTGAGTGCTGGAATTGAGGGTGCCTCGAGTGTTTGTTGTAAGCCAGTCCTATGTCCCTCTACCTGTCCCATTTTTTCCATTGTAAAGCCTTATTCAAACAGATTGACACAGTAGTATGGCATTGAAGTACTTGTGTCATCCTCCGTTAGTTGTTGTCGATGATCATGAAGATCACCTCTCATTATGTACTGGGCTTCGGTCAGCTGACGTTCGCAAAGAACGTTGAGTTGACCCCGCTGATAGCGCCTAACTTCGAAATGGTGCCCAGAAATGTTTATTTTGATGCTGTTCACAGGTGTAGGCATCCCGACCTAAAGCTGCCACCTTGTCGTGGTGGTCGGGCTTGAGTACTGCAGCGATCCCGCGGGTTACACTGGCAGAAACTTCGTTCCACAAGGTGCAACCATGCCAGGAAGGCCAAAGGGGAGCAGCCAGACCAAGAGCAGCGAGACCCCGCACTACGAGTAATCGTGGTACGAGGCGGCTTGGGGGTCAAGTCGTACTGTCCTCTGCGACAGGAGTGTGAAGGCAGTAAGGTGTTTCCCCCAGGCGACCAGCATGTCCATATTTATGGAAGCAGCGATGCTGCCTTCCCCTGAGGAAAGACGGGTTAGAAAAGGTCGGCCCCAAAAACCGCACACTCCGATCGCCCAACGGTTGACCGTGACCGCCGGCACATTACCCAATACGGTCGAAATACTTTTGAAAACAAAAAAGAGCCCGGTGCTGCTCAAAAGGCACCTGCTGTGCGCAGCCGCATCAGGAATGAG